AGAACCAGAGGCAGGTGGGCCTGTTCTTATGTCCCAGACTAGGGCTGGCGGCCAGGCAGTGCCACTCCGGCGCTGCTGTCCCTCCACACATAGCAGGGGAGGGCAAAGCCACTGAGCCAGGACAGGGTGGCCATGGCCCTGCTGTGGGGACAGGCCAGGCCGTGCTGAAAGGGGAGGGGCAGGCCCTCCATCTGGGACTCCTGGAACAGACTGCACGTCATGGCTGGGGAGGGAGAGCCAGCGCTCGGGCGCCGGGGCTGGCGGAGCACCTGGCCTCCAGATGTGGGCCCCCTCCAGCCTTCCATGGAGCGCGGGAGGCCGGGGGCCCTCGGGACCTGCCTGCCCCTCACCCACCGGACTGCATCAGAGGCTAGCAATGCTGGCTGTAGCGCTGGCCAGGGAGGAAGCGGCTGAGCTCAGCTCAGGGTCCCCGCTGGGCCGGCTGCCCGCATGCCCTGGGGCATCATGGGAATGTGACCCCAGCCCAGAAAGCACCTCCGAGCCCTCACACCCTCTCCCTAAGATGGTTGGGAGTCCCTTCCTGCAGGCTGGCTCCAGGCCTCACCCTAGGAATGAGGCCCCTGTGCTGGTACTGCCCCCACCTCCAGTCTGGGGTGGAGAGGGAGGGAGGAGAGGGGATGCGGCCAGACAGCTTTTGTGTTACACACTCAGCCCAGACCCAGGACACGGCTGTGGAAATGGCAGCTGCCTCCCACTTGTAGGCACGGAGTCCAAGCAAGTTCCAGGGAGGCCTGGAGGGCCTGAGGGTGCCTCCCTCAGACAGTTGAACCCCTGGCTGGCCTCACCGAGGCCGGCGTCCCACGTCCCACCGCAGCGGCCAGTCCGGCTGGCTGTCCTGCACCCCGCACACGCAGGCGCACACGGCCCCTTGCCCGCGCAGAACTACCCCGACACACAGCCCACAGCCGGTCCTGGCTGCACGCAGACCCGTGACAGACGGGCAGACGTAAACAGTGGCCCAGTGACTCAGCTCACACCCAGAGGCACGGACGCACCGGCCCAGGGACAGATGGGAGGTGACAGCTGGGCTCGCCAGACACCGCCTCCCCGCTCACACATGCACCCACACGCCATCTTGCGCGCGGGGGGAAGTGTGAGCGGGGCGCCTGCCAGGGTGCGGGCAAGCCGTACAGCCGTTGGGCTGGAACTGACAGGCGGGGGTCCCCTGCTCCTCTCACGACCCCAGCCGAGGCCGACCCATGGCAGCAGGACCTGGGCTGTGTGGGTGCTAGAGGCTCTGGGGGCCTGAGAACAGGGGCTGCCTGGCCTACCTCAGGTCAGGGGATTGCGAAGCCACAGCCACCTGGGCCAGGTCCGAGGCCGGAGTCCCCTGCAGCCCAGGCACTGACGCAGGTGGGCAGAGCGGGACGACAGGAAGGGGTGGCCGGCGGGCCCTGGGGCACTCACCGCTGGGCTTCAGGTACTTCTTGGCGTGGAGGTAGCTCTCCAGCATGCGCTCGTTGAAGAGCATGTAGCCCATGGGCTCCGAGATGATGATGTCCACCTGCTCGGGCAGTGACACCTCCTCCACCTTGCCGGGGATCACCACGATGCGGTCGGTCAGGTTGTTGCTCTTCACCAGGACCTGCGGGCAGGAGGGCCGGGTCACGGGGGCTGGCCGGCCACGGGACAACGAGTGGCCACTAAACAGGTCTGGGAGCTGCAGCGGTGCTGCAGTAACGCCACGCTCCGGAATGCCGGGACCCACACGGGGAGGGCCTGGGTTCGAGTCCTCCACCTCTGTACATGCCAGGCGTGCACGCGTGACCCCGATCCAGGCTGGCTGAGACTGGGGCACCCGTCTGTCCTGGGCCGAGGCCGGGCTGGGTGTCGGCGGGACACTGACCTCGGCGTGCTGGGCCATGGTGCTGGCCTCCACTGCATAGATCTTCCTTGCTCCAGCCTGGGCGGCAAAGAACGACAGGATCCCGGAGCCACAGCCCACGTCAAGGACGATCTGCGGGAGGGGGTGTGAAAGCAAGGTCATCGTCACCAGGCTCTGGCTGGCTGTGCCCAGCCCCAGGGTTCAGACGGGCAGAGACCCTGCTCGGTCACATGCTGAGGAATGGCGGTCCCGGGGCCACGTGCAGCTCTGTCTGCACCTGTCGGCCCTCAGCAGGCGCTCAGTCAGAATACAGGGATAACTTGGAGCCGGCAGACGGCATGATGGTTACATCGTTGGACTCCCACAAAGTGGACCGCAGTTCGAGTCCCGGATCCGGTGGCTTAAAACTCACAACGGGCACATGTGTTTGAGGAGACTGGAGAAGGGACTGCAGAGTGGCCATCCTCCCTGGGGAGTGATTTCTTGCTTTCTGTCTGTCTTTCCAGTAAATGCACACGCCCTATAGCAAAAATCTCTTTCTAAAATGAATAAAGGGATGGGCCGGCAGGTGGCCTGCTGGTTAAGGGTTCTGGAGTCCCACATGGCCAACCACGGTTCGAGTCCCAGACCTAGTGACTTGCTTTCTCATTCCCCTGCCCCAGTTAAATTAAAAGAAAGTTAAATATAATTTTAAAAATTAATTAATTAATTAATTAATTAATAGAATAACTGAATACGACTCAGCCACAGGCCAGCCCTCAGGAGCAGCTCCACAGAGAGCTCCTGCTTCCCGGCTCCTCTGGGTCGTGGGGTGAGGGCCGTGGTCTCCCCAGAAGCCAGGGTGGCAGTTGAGTGGTGTCCCCCTGGGTCTCAGTAGCCCTGGCAGGCAGGAAAGGGGCGCAAGGGCCCTGGTGGTAGCCTCTCCTGCCTCTGTGCTGGGTCCCACCTGAGAAGCAGCCAGGCCTCAACCAGGACAGGAGAGGGGCCCGCCCTGGGTTAGCAGGCTCCCCCACGGGCTGCTGGCCTGCAATGTGGGTGCTGGGCAGGGTCTGGGCTGGGGCGGGTTCGGGAACTGTGGGACTGCATCCCCGGGCAGGCTGAGGACGGCCATTTGTGGTGGCGACGTGCACCTCCTTGAGGAGGGCGGCTCCACACAGGTGGGGGCTCATAGTGAGCGTGGTGGGGGGAGGTGGCATGGGGTGGGCAGGCCCTGGGGTGCCTCTCAGAGCTCTGGATCAACCAGGAAAGGGAGAGCCGGAAGGGACTACACTGATGGGAGTCGGCCAGGGCAGCCGTCAAGGCCCGGGCCGGCTCTGGGCAGGGGACTCCTCCCAGGAGGCCTGGCATCCTACGGAGCAGTTGGTGATGCTGGGGAGCAGGGGTGCGGACGACCAGGGTGCCAATGAGGCACACCCATGTGGACATGCTCAGAGAGCCCCCAAGATAAGTCCAGGAGAAACCCGGGCTCCCATCTGACTCAGCAGCCAGAACCAACACTGAACTACGGGATGAGAAGGGCAGGAAGTTTCATGAATTGCAAAATGTTCGTGGAAAAAAATAGAATTTAAGTATGAATTTATTTTAGTGCAATTTTGAAATCCATACTGTATCTCTTTCTTTCTTTTTTCTTTTTCTGGAGCGGTTTTTTGCTATAGGGCACGTGTGCTTGCCAGAAAGACAGAGAGAGAGACAGAAAGCGAGAAATGACCCCCAGGGGGGATGGCCAGGCCTCAATCCCTTCTCCTCCATTCTCCTCTCGGGATTCTGGGCACGCACGCACACGCTCCCGGTGTGAGTTTAAGCCACCAGGTCCGGGACTCGAACTGCAGTTGACTACATGGGAGTCCAGCGACATAGCCATTACGCTAACTGCTGGTCCCTACATACTGTATCTCTTCAATACTCATTTTTTTTTTTTTTTTTGGAGAGGTTTTCGCTATAAGGCGCGTGCGCTCGCCAGACAGACAGAGACATAGAGACAGAAAGCGAGAAATCACCCCCCCAGGGGGGATGGTCACGCTGCAATCCCTTCTCCTCCATTCTCCTCTCGGGATCTTGGGCACGCAAGCACATGCGCCCGGCGTGAGTTTTAAGCCACCGGGTCCGGGATGCGAACCGCAGGTGGACTACGTGGGAGTCCAGTGACATAGCCATTACGCTAACTGCTGGTTCCCTCAATACTCATTTTTAATGAACTTTCTGAAGATCGCTGGTACACGCTCTCCTGTTCTCTCTCTGTCTGGAATCACAACCACACAGGTTGAGCATCCATGATCCTAAAATCCGGAATCTAAAGTGTGCCACAGTTGGACACCTTCTGAGTGGCATCGTGGCACAAGTGGAAAATCCACACCTGACCTCACCCGCCAGGCTGCAGTCAAAACACTGCAACACAAAAGCAGTGTACAAGGTTACCTTCAGGTCCTCTGCGTGCGGGGTCTGTAAAACTTAAATGAATCCGGTGCTCAGGCTGCCCCGTCATCGTATCTCATTCTGTACATGCAAATGTTCAAAACATAAAAAACAGCCTGCGGCCAGCAGGTGGCGTGGTGGTTAAGGGCGCTGGACTCCCACATGGCCGACCATGGTTCAAGTCCTAAACCGGGCAGCTTGCTCTCTCACTCTCCTTCTTTCTCTTTCTCTCTCGCTCTGTCCTTCTCTGGTCAAGTTAAAATGAAATAAATGAATGAATAAATAAAGTTAAATAAAATAATTATTTAAAAAAAACATCTGAAATCTGAAATACCAATAGTTCTAACCATTTTGGAGAAGGACTATAAAGTTGTATTAAAAACATTTTTTGGGGGCCAGCAGGTGGCGTGGTGGTTAAAAGCACTGGACTCCCACATGGCCGACTGCTGTTCGAGTCCTGGACCTGGCGGCTTGCCTTCTCACTTTCCCTCTCTCTCTCTCTCACTCTGTCTCTCTCTGGTCAAATTAAAATACATAAATAAAATAAAGGTCAATAAAATAATTCTTTAAAAAAAAATTTGGGGGGCCAGCTGTTCAGGCAGCTGGATCCCACATAGCTTACTGCAT